GTTACAAAGACTAGGGCTAGAAGAGCTACACCAAGCAAATCTTTGCACTGCAGTTAACACGTGTGCTTTAACAATTGAAGTATGGAGCATTGGTCTGATTTTTTTTTTTTAATCTCAAGCCTCAGTGATGTTGCCAGTACCACCTGTGTTTCTGGAATACTCCAGATATGTTTAGCATTTTGTATGGAAGGAGTAAAAGGTGATATTTAAATTATTTTGAGGATTACTTCAAAGTGTTGTTAGTGCTGTTGCATTAATTCCCACTAATCGCTACCCTGTATGAGGGTTTTTGTGGAGCTGCTGGTGGGTTTGAACCATTGGCTTGCTGTTCAACGTGGTGGTTGTTGTTGTTAAGTGCTACTGAATAAGTTCTGGCTCACAGCGACCCTGCATAGGATTTCCGAGGAGTGGCTGGGTGGGTTTGAACCACCAACCTTGTGGTTAGCAGTCCAGTGCTTATCCGGCAGCTCTACACCAGGACTCCTTGTACTATGAGAGGAAACAAGAAAGCTTGTCTAATTAACTTTAAGTTTTATGTAACAAAAGTTCCTATTGTAGCTGTAAGTTTTATCTCTCGACCAGGAGAGGAGATGACAGCTATAGAGGAGTTCCAGTGCTTCTTTAAGGCTAATCTCTTTGGGAATGTTATCTTTTAGAATATGGCATTCTCAGCATCTGGGTCTGGGAATTTTATTTTAATAGTGGTTATACACTAAGTTATCAGAGAGATTTAAATTCTAATTATAAAAAAATTCTTTGTGTCACCCAAATAAATAACTTTAGAAATATGGGTTTGTTTTTTTAAAGTTAATTTTGCCTGAATTTTTATTACCTACTTGTACCTTGGTGGAATGAAATACATTACAATTTTTGTTGGTTTTTCTCTAGGGTAATTCCTCTCCTGAAATTACTTTTGGATGGAAGTATGCTCTTTTCCGATTAGAAGATGGTAATCTCGGAGAATGACCATGGAGAAGGGGATGAGTTCAGGAGAAGGACTGCCTTCCAAGTCACCTCAGGTTTCGGCTGTTAAAGTAACAGCCAAAGAGTTGGAAACAAAGCAGTCCCAAAAAGAGAAACGAGGGGGCTTTGTGCTGGTGCACGCAGGTAAGCCCAAAGTGGGTGTGTACGAAGATGAACTACTGCTAGTTTTCCCCCCCTTGTCTTGAAGTATACTGAGAATTGATTTTCACTTCTTAGAAGATACAAACTGAAAGCAGAGTTGAAATCAGAGATTGACTTAGCTGTATAGAGTGAGAAACCTCTCTTACTTCCATTTAGGGCATTTTCTGGCGGTTCTCCTAGGCCATGCTCATTTTCCTCATGCATATTTGCTTTTGCGACCCATAAAGTAATAAGCATATTTGTTGTTGTTAAGTGCCATTGATACACAGCAGAATGAAAC